AAAGGAGGGTGAATGTTGTTCTTAAGAGATGGTTGCACACATGGTGAGCTTCTTGGTGAATGTTGGCAAAGGAGGGTGAATAGCAAAGGAGGGCGAATGTTGTCACCTTCAAGTTATGTAAAATTAATGTTTTTAAGAAGTCTACTCGAGACAATGAGAAGTCTACTTCAGAAGTCTACTCGAGACAAGAGAAGTCTACTCGGTTGACAAGTTATATGATATAAATGAGAGAAATGTCCTTCTGAATCACTTTTAAGTTATGTAAAATTAATGTCTTTTAGAAGTCTACTCGAGACAGGAGAAGTCTACTTGAGACAAGAGAAGTCTACTCGGTTGACAAGTTATATGATATAAATGAGAGAAATGTCCCTCTGAATCACTTTTAAGTTATGTAAAATTAATGTCTTTTAGAAGTCTACTCGAGACAGGAGAAGTCTACTCGAGACAAGAGAAGTCTACTCGGTTGACAAGTTATATGATATAAATGGGAGAAATGTCCCTCTGAATCACTTAAATTAATGTCTTTAAGAAGTCTACTCGAGACAGGAGAAGTCTATTTTGTAAAATAGATAAACATAGATAATTTAGGAATTTGATACAAAACATTCAATGCAATTCAACATTACATAGAAAATAACCCTCTAAACAAACAAACATTTAAGGATCACTAATTATAAATCTTAAAATTGGCATAAGAAATGACTAGTAAACTAAAATCTCTGAAAACTATGTATGCAACTGAAGTCTGCTTGAGAAGTCTGCTCGAGATCGAGAAGTCTACTCGAGAAGTCTGCTCGAGATCGAGAAGTCTACTCGAGAAGTTTACATTCAGATCTGCAAAAAAATCAACAAAATTCAGCTCTGCAACAATAACGAAAAAATTAGATCTAGAACAAAATCTACAAAATTTATACAACAATAAACTCAGATCTACAAATATAAACTTAGATCTACAACAATAAGCTCAAATCTAAACTAATAAGCTCGGATCTATAATAATAATCTACTATATTTATAACATTCATATCTGTACAAAAATCAACAAAATTCAGCTTTGCAATAATAACAAAAATTAACAAAATCTACAAAATTTACACAACAATAAACTCAGATCTACAAAAATAAACTTAGATCTACAACAATAAGCTCAAATCTATAATAATAATCTCAGTATATAAACACAAAACAAATAAAAAGAGGAACACAAAAGCTCAGATTTGCTTACCACTACCATAACCTGCAAGTGAGAGGAGGTTGAATGCAAGATAGAGAGGATGGAGAGGATATTGATAGCAAGAGAGGAAGGAGAAGAAATTCATGGCCAGAGAGAAGGGAGAAGAGAGAGAGAGAGGCGTTTTTTAGATAGAGAGAGATTATGTTGTTAATACAATTAGGTTAAACTCTCCTTATATATGTAGGAAAAATTTCGTGTAAGTAGACTTCTTGAGAAGTTTACTCGAGAAGTCTACTCGAGAAACCGAGAAGTCTACTCGAGAAGTCTCTTAGTATTGATTTTTATCTTAATTTATCTATGATGATTTAAATTGATTATTTTCTGTCAAATTTTATTTTTAATAGGTGTAAAAAATATATATTTGTTGTTATGTATCTAATTTTTTTATTAAATTATCTTTTATGATTTTTAAAATTAATTGTAAACATATTATTAAAGAGTAGACTTCTTGGAGAAGTCTACTCGAGAAGTCTACTTAACTTCTCGAGTAGACTTCTCTGGGATAAAATAGTAATTGAGGTTGACGTTTTTTTCTTTGGTCATAAGGGTTAAAATTGTAATTTCACTACTCCTGTGAGTTATTTTTGTCAAACATGCAATAGGGGGTCTAGTTTTGCATTTCAACTCAAGTTTTGAGTCATATTCAGCAATTCCCCCTTAATTTTTTGGCTAATATCTTTTAAATTGTCAAAACTATAATATATGTGTAGAAATTTTCTTTTATATAAAAAATTAAAATATAATATGTAGTATCTATTTTTGTTTATAAAATTATAAATCTTATTAAGTAAAATCATAGTAATGACACCTAACGAATTATCCAACTTCGATGTGCATATGTTTGATTTAGAAAATGATTTCCTTACTAAATTTTTGGTGTTTTGTTTTGTATCCTTAGGATTTCTATGGTTTTTTTTAAAAGGTTTATATGTTTAAATATTTAGTTTCTTTACTAAATGTCTCACTAATATTGTGTATATATACATATATAATATATGATATATATTGATTCAGATTTACTTTTGTTAGTAAGCTACACTAATCATGTAAAACTGCTTTTTGCTTCTCTACCAGATCTTCTATGAATTTTAGGTTATATTTCTATTCAGTCAATAAGATCTGTTTTATTTGCAGTCAATATTTGCTAATATTTGTTTTTAAATATGTAAGAAGATGTTGAGACTTCATATTATCACTGTTTTTTTTTTTTTATCTTTTGTGTGTTTATTCATGTTTTGATTTAAATATTTTATCTTCATATATTCTCCTTTGAATTTGATTCATAACTTTGACATATTATATTATTTAAATAAAATTTTAGAGGATGTTGCTCATGTGTTGTTCATGTTAACTAAATTATAAGCAGTAAATATGTATACAAATAAGACTTTATTACTTATTATATTTTGAATGTAAAGTTACTTGTGTAGTATTTTACTTTGTTTATTTTTCAACCAGACGCAACCAAGGTATTAATCTTTGTAAATTTAAATAATATGTTTGATTTAGAAACTTGTATAACCTATTAAAACTTTATATGGTTATTTATAGTCAGCACCAATATTTTAAAAATCATGAATATTTTTGGAACTATATTTCAAACTAATTTTCTTCTTAGATCTTGTTTTTTTGTTATTTTAAATATCTTCAATGGTAATTTTATGTTTTATTTTTATTATCTAATTTTCTGCAGGTTTGATATACTTAAAACATATATATTTTTAATTAATCTCTTTTGTTATTGATTTTTCAAATAGGTAGCATATATATTAATCTAATATCTTTTACATATATACTTTTTTTTGTTAAATTTACTTTTTAAATTAATTAAAATGCTATTTTGACATGCTATAACTGGTTATTCTAAATTTTAAGTGAACTTCTCTCAAAAGCTTATACCATCATTTGCTTTTTTTAGTTAATATTTGTTTGGTAGCTAGCCTAAATATCAAGCTTATTTTACTTTATACAACTTTTTCCTTTGATAATTTACCTCTCATGATATTGATTTTTAGTTTATTTTAACACACCATTTTTTTTAAAATATTGATATTTCGAAGACATAATTTTTTTGTTAGTTAAATATTTTTATATTAAATTTTTAAGTAGTTAGTCAGATATCAAGTCAATATATTTTTAAGTGTTTTTTTTAAAAAAAATATTTTTTAAAACTTAATTTCCGTTTTAGTTTTTTAGTTAATTAATTTCTTAATATTGATTCCTTAAATAATTAGCTTAAATATTTATATTATTTTTATTAGTTAAGTTTTTAATATTATTTAAGTTTTTTATTCTCTTATTTTTCTGTTTATATTGATTTTGTTAAATAAATAACATATATATTAAGTTAATATCCTCTTTTTTGTTAATTTAACTTTCTCGATATAGACTTTCATTATAATTGTATTGACATGTTGTAAGAAATAATTTATATTTTGGTTTTTGTTAGCTTTCTTCAGTAATTTAACTTTCTTGAGTAATTAGCATAAAGTATCATTTTTGGTTTGTTAAGATTTTTGTGTTAATTTTTTAAATATTTCCCCCAAAATTATAAGTTTTAGATGACTTTCTTTTTTGATAATATAAAATGAATATTTTTTTGGTAGTACTGATATTTTTAAATAACAATTTTATATGTTTATATGAAATTTTAATCTTAATATTTTTTCTAAATAAATTATTCATTTAAAATATATATGCTAATTTTTTTTTTTAATTTAACTTTTTCGTTATTGATTTACATATTTGTTTTTATTAGTTTAGTTTTTGTGACAATGAATTTTCATTTTATTTTCACAATAGATTTAGACTTTTGACATAAATTTATTTTATATAGTTAAAAAAAATTATCTTAATTTTCCATTCTATTGTGATAATTTTATATTTTTGTATGTTTTAATTTATTTAAATTATTAATAAGATTTTTTTTTTTGTTTAATGAAAAACGCTAATATAGACTAATAAGATTGAATATATATGTCCTATGTGGACGCTCTCATTGGCCTAAAACATCAACACATACCACAACTAATATATTTTAAGTTAGCACTTCATATTTTAATTATTTGTCGTGATTAAAATTTTAAAATAATTTAACTATGGTTTTAAATATAGTTTTTAATAATTTTGTTCAATATATATGGATTTTTTTTTCATAATCTATTTATATGTTAATTTAACTTTTTATTATTAATAGAAAAATAGGATCTATTTTCAAAACACTTTTTTATTAATAACTAACTTAAATTTTAGAAACTTTTCTAATAACAACAAAAATAAAATTAATTAAAATTTAGAAATTTTCTTTATTACAAGTAAAACGAATTCATTAATTTTAATATACAATATATAATTAACTAAAAATAATGATGATGTGTACCAATAGAATTGAATCTTTAAATCCTATGTGAACATCTTTAGAGGTATTTATCATAAATTTCTATTAGTAATAGATATGATTATGCTACTCCAAACCTAATAATAGAAAGAGGTGAACACCTATTAATTAAAGGTAACAAGTGAACCACTATTAATTAAGGTAACAATTCTCAAATTTGGTGTTGAAATATAATTATAAAAATGAAAAGAAAAAAAGATTCCCCAAGATCTAGTGGCTGAGATTATGACACTGATCATAGGATGAGGTGGCATTTGTGGTTATGATATATCAACAGTACAACCCAATCTTTGTCCAGACACAGAGCATCACCCTAGAGGTAGTCAATAAATCTCCCATTGAACAACACTATACGAGTCCTCAAATCCGATGGAATCAGAAACCCTAACTGACAAGGCCGTACCAAACAACGAAGAGATCAAGACAGACCAGTTCAAGAAGAATCAGGAACGGTACCGAGACCTGATCGCCACGTTTCCTCACGCAAAAGGCTGGTTTGAAAATGTTCCGCTGATCCGCTACGGTGGTCACTGGATAACACATCATCTCCTTCAAGGTTGGCTTTACACGCAAGAATTCTTCCAAGCGCGACCCGTTGACTTCTTCGTTTGTAGCTACCCAAAGTCAGGCACCACCTGGCTCAAAGCTCTAACTTTCACCATAGCAAATCGATCTCGGTATGACCATTCTTCAAACCCTCTCCTAAAACTCAACCCTCACGAGCTTGTTCCTTTCTTGGAGTCCAAGTTTCCTTTCTTCCCTCAAGATGATGTTCTTAATGACAAAGGGAATACTCTGTTTGCAACTCATCTCCCACATGGTTTATTACCGGAATCGATTTCGAAATCGGGTTGTAAGATGGTTTACATCTTGAGAGACCCAAAGGACACCTTTGTCTCCATGTGGAGTTTCATTCAAAAGCAAAGGTCATATAAAAATGGCCCTCTCAGTAGTCTTGAGGAGTGTTTTGATATGTTCTGTCGAGATTTTTCTTGGTACGGACCTTATCTAGACCATGTCATGTCGTATTGGAAAGCTTACCAAGAGAATCCAGATCAGGTTCTGTTCCTCAAGTACGAGACGATGAGTGCTGATCCTTTGCCGTCTGTGAAGAGATTGGCTGACTTTATGGGTTTTGGATTCACATATGAGGAAGAAAATGAAGGGGTTGTTGAAAAAGTAGTGAATCTTTGCAGCTTCGAGACGCTGAAGAACCTTGAAGCCAACAGAGGGGAGAGACAAGAAGAAGACGTTCCTACTAGTCCTTATCCGAATAGTGCGTATTTCAGGAAGGGGAAGGTCGGAGATTGGCAGAACTATCTGACTCTGGAGATGGCAGCTCGAATGGATGGATTGATGGAAGAGAAATTCAAGGGCACTGGCTTGCTTGAGCATTGTATATGACTGGTTCGTGTTATTAGTTTACTTAGAGCGCAAGTTTTATCTTTTACTCAATTTTATTCTACTTTTTTTTTCGAATTTCTCAATGTTTATTTTACTTTTTGTGCCTCCCACCCATATTGTAAGAATGAATGCGAATTACACAGACAAAGAATGTTTCATCTTGCTCTCTTTACACCATCGATTTGATTCCCTATTTGGGAAATTTCCATAGTGCTTGTTTCTTAATTACTTCTTTTAGCTACTTTAGTAAATACTACACAAGAGTACTCTTCAACTATTTGTTTTCTTTTACCTCTTCCTGTTATTAATGGACTCATTTATTTTATTAGAACAGTTTTTGGATCAAAGATAAATATTATTGCAAACCCGAATCGGAACTTCAATTAACGTCCAAAATCTTATAACTACTAGCTAGTACTCTGTCAAAATCTCTGTTACAAGCCTCTGAGCATGCTCGCATGTGCCACTCTAAACGGGATTAAGATGGGCGATAAGCAACTTACGGTTAGGCGTGCGATTCAACCTAAACCTGAGCAAGAAGAAGTATCCGCAAGGCGACTATGAAGGCTGATCTTTCTTTACTTTTGGATCTCTTATATAGCAAAAAGTTTGGATCTTTTAATTTATTTGGCTTTTAGGTCTCTCTACTAAATGGAGATATTTACTTTTCTAGGATATGACTGCAATAGTATGAAGCTATCAATCTAGTACTTGTCGAGGCAAAATTTCATCAAAACACCCTTGAGTTATATAATATATTGTCCTCCTACCGGTTAGAAAAAGATCAAACACCAAATTATATACAAAATGCATACGAGTAACAGAATATGCTCTTCATCGAAGTTGAAATATTATATATAAATATATGAAAAGGTTAACACTAAACAATTAGCACCAGTGGTCTAGTGGTGGGATTATATCTACGACGATATAGTCCCGGGTTCGATGGCCGGCTGGTGCAAGAGAGCTGTGAGGAAATTGGCTTTAGCGTTGGTTGGGTCCTACGCACTCTTCTGATATCTCAGATGTGTTAAAGCCTAGTACTGAGCTCTATTTTTTTTCCTATATGTAAGAAAAAAAAAATGCAACAAGAACTCACTAACTTAAGGATGTTTTAAGAATCAAGTTTTATCTGTCACATCCAGCTATATCAAGAGAAAAGGTTTATAGTTTAAGCATATCAAAACTTACCTTGAAGCACAAGAAAGGCATTCTCATTGGGGTGGCCAGAGCGGTGTCCAGTGAATTGTATGATATTGTTAATCACAACTTCATTGGAAAACTGACGGTGAGCGAAATACGTGGATTCAAAGTGGAATGAAGAGCTTTCAAAACCTCTGAACATTGCAAAGAAGAAGATTGAAATGCTGTACTTCCTTGCGCATTGACTGGTTCCTCTCCAAGGCTTCTCACTAATCACGACTTCCCATCACTACAGTGACCAGTCAAAGAAACCATTCGCCTCTATGGAGAGGCACTTCTTGACTAGTTGTGACCATTCAAGTTTTTTCAAATCATGGACTTAATTTGTCGATGTCCCATAGGGGCCTTTTTGCTCAGTTTGATTCGCTTATGTGTTTCTCCGCTGATATATATATTCTGAAAATTTGGTTTGGATTTCATAGAATAACTCTTTGTGTGATAAAGATATTTACAACGCTCATCTGCTAGAAAACACATACTTTTTCTGATTCCTAAAACCTCTTTCTTTGCTTGTCATTGACTATTACAAGTTCAGATTCTTAAAGGCAATGCTCAGAGAACTTGTGGAGACCCGACCCGGCTAACTAAACCGCAGTCGTGTCTTTACTACATCCTAACAGTTCGGTTCTATACTTAGGTAAAATTTTAAACTTTTATTTGCAATAATCAGTACACAGCGGATTCAACTTACTCATTTCATTCCATTATACCTTTCATAAAAACACTTAACAAGATTCAGGGTTCTCATAAAATAAAGCACAACAGTTTGCTAATGAATACATCATATCATCTAGCAACCTAAACGGTCAACACCAAAGTCCATAAGACAAAACTCAAGTCTTATACATAAAACACCCAAATCTCCGATCCATCCATGTTCATCACTGCTGCCGGTCTCGCTCTACTTACTGCTTATTTCCTGCACACTTAAACAAGAGAGGCATAAGTATTGTCATAAATATTTAGTGAGTACGATCATCCCATAACACCTTGGCCACTACCATTCACGCATTCATACTGTCGGATTCAACATCCCACACAATCAATTCACAATAAACATAACACATATCAAACGGCCATGATCATCTACCTTAACCCTTGATCAATCTCTTTTTAAGACTCAAGACTCATGTCTACTTCAGCGAGAATCCCACATCCCCTAAGCTAGTACATGATCTGGATTACCCTGAAGTTAGTTAGACATCATCTATGCCACGGTAAACACCTCACAATATCATAATATAGAATCGTTTAACACATGCTAACACCAAAACATGCAAATCACACAATCAAACATGCAAAACATCAAACCCTAGCAATCTAACGATCCTAAATACTAACCACAGTCACGCACTCACTTTAAACAAGGTTGAAAACAGATTGGTCAGAAGAAATCCCGATAAAACTCGCGTGGAAACGAAGATATCCGATCGCTCTAGAAATCTCTCGGCTATCGCTACGATCCGATCTCTCTCTCCTCGGCTATCTCTCGATCCGTTCACCTTTCTTCGAGCCAAACTCTGTTTTCCCTCAGAAACCCCACAAAACACACCTATTAGCTCGGGGTTATCCGATGGAAACTCGTCACAAAGGGAAATATCCGATCGCTTACCAGTTTATCTCGGCGATGGTCAGATCTGTACGGCGATGGCTCAATCTCTCTTGGCTATCCTCGGGATAAACTGTTTTCTCTAGGGTTTTCTCTCGACTAATCTCTCTTTCTTGCTTTATTATTCTCAATAAACGTAACTCTTCCGAGATAAGTTTCAAAAATGCCGTATATACTCGCAAAACCCTAAGTAACTTGGACTTAACCGATGTTTCCTGGTTTTATTAGGATTTATCCTGATCCGATTAGATTATCCCGGCTATGACCCGTACCAGTTCTACCATCTGCGTGATAAACCATGTTTTTGCCAACCTATTCACACACGGCCCACGGCCCAGTCCAGCTTCCCTCAGCTATTTCCTTTTCTCTCGGATAAACCGCCTTCATCCGAGTTATTTCCCTTATGTCCGGTCATTTTCCATTTCTCTCCCGGATAAATTGAACCACCTCAGCTAACTTCCATTTTTCTCTCGGAGACTTTCCTTTTCTCCGGACACAGTCCACTCTTACTCGGACTAACCCTATTTTCTCTCGGATATGGTTCATCCGGCTCGGCTATCCCAGCCATCCTTCGACTATTTCCCAGTCATCCCCGACCATAGTCTTAACCTCCCAGTTCCCAGCCAATATCCGATCCTTGGCTCTATCATCCCTCTAATTTCCTCGGATTGGATGCTATAACTCTCCCCCACCCGTTTTGGATTCACCCTCGAATCCGGCTCATTCGTTTGCAACTTATCAAACCACTTGGGATACTCAGCTTTCCTCCTAGCCTCCTTTTCCCATGTAACCTGTTCATGTCCGTCGCAGTCCCATACGACCTGAACCATCCTGACTAGCTTGCCTTGCTTAGTCTTTTCTTTTCTGGCTAACACCCGAACCGGCCTAGCCACAACTGCAAGATCCTCTTGCAAGTCTGCTGGTGGTTCCTCTATAACCGCCTCACGTTCGGTTATATGCTTCCTTAGCTGCGACACATGGAATACATTATGGAACGCTCCCATTTCAGATGGCAAGTCCAGTTTGTACGCCACTGCACCAGCCCTTTCTAATATCCGGTATGGTCCCATGTACCTCGGACTCAACTTAGCATACTTAGCTGTCCTGCCTGTTCCCTTATAAGTCAGTGCCTTCAGGTAAACCATATCCCTTACACTGAACTCCAAGTCCTTGCGACGCTTGTCTGCATAACTTTTCTCTCTATCCATTGCCTCTTTCAGCTTAACTTTTAAGAATCTGATCTTTTCTGTAGTAGCCTCGATCACTGCTGGCCCCATCACGCTGCGTTCCCCCACTTGTGTCCAACACAAGGGTGTCCTACACGGCCTACCATAAAATGTCTTATACAGAGACATCTCAATGCTTCTATGGTAACTATTGTTGTTTGCGAATTCTTCCAACGGTAAGTAGTCCTCCCAACTACCACCCAAATCCAGCACGCATGCTATCAGCATATCCTGCAATGTTCTAATCGTCCGTTCTGACTGTCCACCAGTCTGAGGATGATATATTGTACTCATATGCAACCGCATCCCACAAGCTTCCTGGTACTCTTTCCAGAACCTCGAAGTAAACTTCGGATCATGATCTGAAATAATGCTCACTGGCACTCCATGCAACCTCAAAATCTGATCAATGTACATATCCACCAACTTTGATATTCTATCCGTCTTTTTTATTGGTAAGAAGTGAGCAGACTTGGTCAATCGATCGACAATAACCCATACTCCGTCATGCTGCTTCTTAGACTTTGGTAAACCCAGTACAAAGTCCATGGTGATCATGTCCTACTTCCATTCCGGCATTGGTAATGTCTGCAACAAACCACTCGGAAACTGATGTTCTGCCTTAATTTTTTGGCATGTCTCACATCCGGCCACCCACTTAGCCATATCCTGTTTCATCCCGACCCAATGATATTACCGTTTCAGATCCTAGTACATCTTGGTCATCCCTGGATGAACAGAAAACCTTGACTGATGCGCCTGCTTAAGGATCTCATCCTTTAGCTCCTTCACATCTGGAACACATACCCGTTCGTTCATAACAATTGTCCCATTGTTTGAAGTTTGATATTTCGTCTTGTCATTCTGTGACATCTTGTTCAGATTCTCATCCTGCTCCTGAGCAATCCGAATCCTAGTCAACAAGTCAGCTCTATCCGCGGCTTCCAAGCCCAATGGTTCCA